CCTTAGATGATTGTCTAGGTGGTGGCTCAACATTATCTTTAGCTTTATTTTTATCAAAACCTATTCCTTCCTTAGAAAAATGCATAGTGTCAAGAAGTAAATTTAAGTCTTTATGAGGAGTATTAAATTTCTTGACCGTGCTCTCAAGTTTAGCGACTTGCTCTTTTAAAGCTTTGCAAGACCCACATTCACTTGATGAGCTTTCTGGTTTGTCAGCGCTTCTTTTTCCGAAAAACTTGTTTTCTTGTTTAAGTGTTTCATTTTCTTTTTCCAATCTTTCAAAATCGTTTTCAAGTAAAGAAAGTCGTTTCTTCAAAGATTTATTTGTTTTAGAAGCGCTAACAAATTCCTCATAGAGTTCATGAAGTGCTTCTTGCATTTCTTCAAAAGTATAAGAGTCGGAAGAAATGTTACATACCTCTTGGACGTCGTTGCTTTGATCTTCGTGTGCCATGAGGCAGAGATTTGCAGCTTCGTCCTCCTCTTGGTCGGTTGATTCGTCGCCAGAATCGCCACCCCAAGAGATGTAGGCCCTTTGCTTCTTGAAGCCAGACTTGTCCTTGCCGTGTTTGGTATTTGGACACCTTGGCTTGATGTGGCCAATCTCGCCACAGCCGTAGCACTTAGGAGGACCGTCGTGCTTCCTTCCCTTCCGCTCAAATTCCTTCTTCATGAACTTGTGAAACTTCTTGATGACGAGCCCGAATTCATTGTCGTCATCGCTTGAAGCCTCTTCCACCGGCTCCTTGGTGGCTTTGAGAGCTATCCCCTTTTTATTTTGTTCATCCAAAGACGGGGTTAGAATAGTAGATTCATAGGTTTTAAGATTACCTCTTAGCCCGTCGATGGTGACATTGGAGACTCCGATGGATTCGTAGATTGCATCGGCTTTTGACCTCCATTCGGGTGTGAGACTCCGCAGGATTTTCCTCACAAGATCCTTGTTGGTGTAGGTCTTTTTGAGGGCATGAAGATCGTTGATTATCTTTGAGAACCGGTCGAACATGTTATCAATTTTCTCACCTTCTTTCATCCGGAACATTTCATACTCTTGGGTGAGAAAGTCGATCTTGGCTTCGCGAACTTGATCGGTACCTTCGTACGTCACTTCAAGCTTGTCCCACATCTCCTTGGCGGTTGAGCAACAGGAGATCTTTCGGTAGTCATCGGGGTTGACCGCGCAATATAGCATATTGATGGCCTTTGCATAGTTTTCAATCTTCTTGATGTCCTCGGCATCAAATTCGTCTTCGGTCTTTGGGACCGTGGTTTCTCCCACTTTCTTCATAGGGATTTCTTCGCCATTTTTTATCACCAACCACAATTGGAAGTTGGTGGAACGAATATAGATTCTCATCCGTTCCTTCCAATAAGAGTAGTTGGTACCATCAAAGAGTGGTGGCCTAGAGGTTGATTGTCCTTCTCCAATTCCTGCATAGAGATTTCTAGAAGAAGAGCCCATGATCTCTTTACTCTCAAACGGTTAAGTTTGGACGCGAGTTAGGCTCTGATACCAATTGTTAGAATAATAGACCAACGCTAGAGGGGGGGTGAATAGCGTTTGATCAAGAAATCGCACGAATAAAAATGAATAAGCGAGAAGTAAAGAGAAAAGAAAGAGGCACACCGATTTTACCCTGGTTCACCACAACTTGTGGCTAATCCAGCCTCCCGAGAGACTCTCTCGAGCTACACTACTATCTCGTTAAGCTTAACGGTGCTTAACAAACCCGTACAACTTGAGAATTCGAGTCACACGAACCTCAACGAACCTTCGAAGGAAACAACCCTTCCTTCGAACAACAAGAGAAATACCTTCTCTTGTCAAGTGTCTAAGAACACTAAAAACACTCAAGAACAATACTCTCTTTT